TTCTGGATGTGTGGACCTTGACTAAATATGCCACTTGGCATACTTAGTTTTTTGCAAAATTTATCTAGACTAACATTTGAGAAGGGCCAAACTTTTTCTGCCGATTTTTTTCAAAAAAATATTATGGAAAAATGACAACTCCTACAAAAATGTGTTGTATGGATGACTTTTAGGAAATTGTCCAAGTTATCGAAAAAAAATACTGGAAAAAATTTCATTTGAGACCTACACTGAAAAATATCGATTTTTATTTAAAAAAAAAATGGCCATGTTCGATTTGGATGAAACTTTGCCTCAAGATAGGTAATTATGTTTACTATCAACCGTCCATACATCGCGAGATGGGCACTTTTAAGGAAAAAAAAGTTTTTCTTACAAAATATTTTTCATGTCTGAACTGATATGATATGGAAAGGGCTCATGATGCATTTCTCGCCAAATCGTATTTGGAATTGGCAGCACCCTCTCAGAGTTCAATAAAACTATTTGAACATGTAGGCCTTGCCAAAAAAATATCATTCCCTTATTCTGTTGTCTACTACTGATGCAAAATTTGATAATATGTGAGAGAAAAACGACAAGATTTTTCATGTATCATTTATTTATATATTTTCAATGTTTTAAACCTATTTTCATACATGCTATTTTTTTTTTCCTTTTCCCAATCAAGTTAAATATTTTTGGTTCATCTTCTTAATTAGAATACCTTTTTGCCGCTACTTTGTCACCAGTTATAGGCACAAAACTGTGGAATTTCTGTGTGCCAATATTGTTCTTCGAGTTCTTCTGACAATTTCGATGTACTGTTCAGTGGATATGTACTCGAAACGTAGTTTTGTGATATTTTTATCTGTTTGTTCAACTGTCCAGTTATATAATTCTCGTGGAGTTGTTATGGTGTTTTCATAATCTCGAGCAAGACTAGCTATCTTTGCCATTCGCCAGAGAGTGCCACCAATGGCATCACAGGGACCTTTTCCATGAGACGTTGCAAAAAAAATACCATTCTGCTTCTAATCCATGCTTTGACTGAAATCTACACAGACTAGCAAAGTTTTTTTATTTTTGTATTGTGATGCTGCCCCATCTGACATAAAAGTAATCTAAAAAATCTATCATTTTTGAGATGAGCAACTGAACTGCAACTGTATCGTGAGTCATTACTTCTGATATGATAATGAAGCTAACATTTTCAAGTTTATTGTCTATCTTATAATAAACTTCAAATGGATGTATTGTTGCTTGAGAATTATTCCAGTGATATCCTTGAGCAGCGTTTTGGATAATGAATGAATAATTTTCAGAAAAATCACAAATTGCTAGAATTTCGCCTTCTTTTAATGATTCATTTTTATTTCTTAGAAAAGATGACTGTTGTTTGTAAATAAAGTCATAAGTTATAAGTTTGTTAATGTTATCAATGAGATACGGAACAAATTCATCAACAGGCTTGATAATCGTTTCCAAATTACAACGATCAGTATTCAGCCACTGTTGAAACACAACATCTTGTTTGTCATTTGATTATAATAGCAAAGTAAGTTCCTCTTCAATATGTTCATTGGAAGCAAACGTTTCGCAAGCACGGAAAAAGCAATCAGTTGTTCTAGTAGAAACATTACAAAGCATTTGTTTCTATTATTGCATCTTGTGACATAATTCTTAAACTGTTGATTATTAACTTTACATTTTAATGAATTGTACAAATACATACATTATGTATACCAGTAGAATCAAGCAAAATGCAATGTTTTGGTCGCAATTGTGTAAATACAGTGAAACCAATATTAATATCTTTATATTTATCAACAAAAATCATGTACGCTTCTTTGAGGGACATCATTAACAGGCGTATTTGAACGTGTTCTTTTCGTCCATTTCTAAACTCGGAAACAAAATCATTTGTTCTGGACATAGGTCTACTAATATCATTATCATCAAAAAATTCCCTAACTAGTTTTTTGTATCATCGTTGATCCCATGCCCACTTCTTTTGTTGGGTGTGCTTAGAATACCCTGCTCATTAACAAGGCTCTTCACCTGCCTCACCATGTACGTTGGTGCGTTGAATTCTGCTACAATTTTATTCACGGACCAAGACTTTGGCAATACTGATAATACTGTTATCTGACCTTTTCTGTCAGCTGTAGGGGAATTGAACTTCTCCTTTAGCTGCACAATCATTTGTTCGTATGCCTCTACTTTGCTAATGTCTATGTATTTAGGCCAAATATATTTTTTCGCACTGCTTGTGTAATTTCTAGAGATTTTATTGAACGATAATCCTCCTCATGTTCCTCGATGAAATTGGAGATAAATTCAACGTTTCCACAAAGCCATTAAACTTCTCAACATTGTATGGGCGTTGCAGATCATCTGCTGATGGAACTGACTCCAATGATGGAACCGATGGTACCGTATCTGAAGGAAAGAAGATGAAAAAATAATCGATCTAATTTCCGTCCTACTAAGCACAACCCGCACTTTTGGAATATTTCTGTTCAAGATGACTTTTAAATTTATTCACCTTTCCATACTTACCGTTGGATTTGATAAGGAGCCTCAAATTGTTGAGATATTGCTTAAAATCTAATACTGCTTCTTGATTCTAAATTCGTTCTACGAGTTTCAATTCCGTCCAAACGCATTGAAACGCCATTAGATTTTTTTCGTCCTACGGATAAACGTAGAAAATGGGGATTCGCTAGGAGCGCTTCTTTTGTTTTGAGAACAATGGGCGTAAATATTCATACAATGCGCTCTAACTGGATTTATGTTGTAGCTAATGAACTAACGCATCGGAACAAACCTATTATTGATTTTTGCACGGTGAAATCATTGATATTATGGGCGATTACGACGAAGCAGCGCTCTACCCTAAGTGCAGTTAGGAGGTTGCAGTTAAAAGTTGATAGAATCATCAGGATGACTGTTCTTACCTAGCTCATCTACGGATTGATGGCCACTCATTGATGGACCTGGATCATCACTATGCTGCTGCCCACTAGTTGACGGTTGGATATTTACTTCATTTCCAACCGATCGGCGTTTTTTCATAACTGGACTTCTATTATGAGATATCACGCTACGGCATGACTCACAAATGCTCATCGTTTCATCAATTTCGTGGTTATATCCCATAGAATGTATTTGTTCTACCATCGTTGACGATATGGCCCGTAACTTATTTCGGTTGCATCTCGGATTATTTATATTTGCACAACATTTCAATCCTTTAAGCCTTAATTTACTACTTTGGTCCATGATAATAATTTTACTACAACTTGTCTTCACAATTTTCGTTATCAGATTGACTGCTGCTTGTATGAAATCAACCTTAGTTTTATAGTGCTCATAGGTAGAATGAAGTGGTAGGTATATAATGTTAATGGTTTAGGTATAAATAACAGAAGGGCATATAGAATTATGATGCGATACGTTGACTTCCCAAATCGTTGTTGATTCGAAAGAAGATCTCAATTTAATTTTATTCATACCTAATTCTTTACGGATAATTTGAGCTAAGAATTCTAAGTTGCTATAGGAGTATCGGATTTTGCCTAAGTAGTAGACAATATAATCAATTATATTATTTTCTAATGATATACGCCCTTTTCATATGGAATTCTCGATTAATCCAAGTGATTAGTTGCTGATTAGACAAAATTGAATCACAAATGGAGCTTCATTGGGTTCTGAGATGATTTTGAGCTTCACTGGTAGGGTAGAGAACTACTTCGGCCTAATCGCCCATTTTGGGCCTATCGAGCAGAGAACTTCAAATAAATCCATGATTTCAGAGTTAACACGTCAATTATGCGTTTGGTACGATACTTTTGTTAATAAGCTTCCAAACGAATGCAATGAGCACGTGTGATATGAATGTTTGCACACATTATTCCCAAAAACAAAAGAAGCGCTCCGAGCGAATCATGTTTTATCTTCATCCGATAAGCCGAAGTGAATTCATTGGCGCTTCAATGGCGTTTCAATGCGTTAGGCCGAGTTTAGAATCCGTAGGCCTTGCTTGGCGTCAAGAAGCACTGTTAGACTTTTGACAATATCTAAACGATTGGTTTCGCTTTATCAATCGTACGGTACATACGGAAAGGTAAATAAATTTGGAAACCATCAGTAATAATAACATTCCGTTTGGTGCTAAAATGCGCTAGATTAAGAAAGACTAAGTGCGGGTTGTACTTAATAGGCTGGAAATGGGGTAGTTAACCCTAGTACAGACAAAATTTTGCTTTTTTCAGAAACATTTCCTGCTTTCTACAAACTGGGTCGGTTTTCCTCCATAGCTTGAAGGTCAACCTGAAAAATCACATGGCACGTGTTATGCACAAAGACAGCAGAGCTAGTAATTTTCATTCGTATTTGCACAGGAGTTCTACTACAAACGCCATCATTCATCAGGATTCAACTGTTCTGGCTTAAATTAGTTGCACTGAATAAAGCCTTACATATTTCAATACAGCTAAATCGTAGTAAACATGACAGTTTGACGCAACCATATGACGTAAAGATTTATTATAAACCATGATCCGACGAATGATGTCATACTGGTGCGGGTGGGAAGGTGTAGAATTCCTCCCGAAAGAAACTTTTTCATTCGCATTACGTAGCTGTCTTCCTAGTTGGTATGCGAACTTTTCATAAAACAGCATCCTATCGCCTCACAAAGGGGGTGGCTGATTAATGACGTGATGAATGAAAATTTTGCACTCCCGGACTGTGTGAAAATCACGGTCTTCCCTTCCTCGGCTGCAGAAGATGATGCCGGAGGATGAGATGCGGAGAGTTGTAACAAATTGGAACGATGCCAGCAAGATGTTCGGTGGCGGTTGCGACTGCTTTGTCTGACTGCCCCGTCGCGACGCGTTAAACAACCTAGATTAGCTGTCGTAATGAGAAATAGATCTAGCGCGTTATTCAAGGTCGAAAATTTAATGATTCACGGGTTTCTAATTGCTCCTTTCTTTCTCTTCTGCTTTCAGGTACTATCAGCACTAGACATCCTGCAGCCACCGCATCTGGACTTCTTTCAAGAAATGTATCCTTTTCCAACACTTAAATCAGACAATTTCTGCCTACTAAATCTATGGACAATCCGCATTCGAACGAAACATCCGCAAACTCCTCTCGGTATAATCCCACATTTTCCGCAAGATTCGATGGTTGCACATTTCAACGCAGCTCAACGCGTTGTTGAGCAGTGCTCGAAAAAGCCAAAACCAAAGCCAACCACCGCACTCTGTTGCTCGCAAATCATCATCGTTTGAAATCTTGTTTGGCACCAGCAAACAACACGGGAGCATATACACACTGACTACTGCTGCTGCTCTTGCTTCCAAACAAGTGCTCTCTTGGCAGTCCGAAACATGAAGAGCCAAACGAACCAGCTTGGTAGGGTGGGGGGGGGGGGATTTCTGCAATTTTGACCGAAATGGATTAACAGCTCATCTTCACACAATCTCCTCGAGCTGTCTGGCAGCGTTATGCGCTAGCGTTGTCGTTCGGAGCTTCAGAATTGCTCGTTTTGTGTTGGCTGCTTTCTCTTAAAGTTCACCTTTCCATGGAACAAATTACTTAAAATATGATTTAAGAATAATCGTTCCATTTCGCACGGATCAATTTCGGAAAGGACATCAAACGTCAAATTAATGTGAGGTCATACTGATGCGAAAAACTTCATTAGCCGTTTGACTACTACAAGCCAATTCGGTTGAAAATTGGAGTTTTATTTCGATAAACTCTGTTTTAGTCTTGCACTGGAATGCAAGGCGTTTCCGTTTTAAATATGCGGACTAACATCAACCATCGATCTTGATTCTCAAAATTCCATGTCCACATATCTTTCTCTCCCGCTGTAATCGTATCTACATACCTTGACTACTAGCGCCTGCTTCCTACTGGGATGTGACCATTGTTTAATACCGTATCAAATCCTACCGCAGTGGCACTTAATTTCGGAAAAGTCATGCGACTCTTATCCCCTTGAATGGTGGCAGGCAAAAGATTTTATCACATCGAACATGAAATTTCATTTTCTATCCCAAGGATTTTTCATGTTGCCGTCGTATTCCGCCTAGCAGTCCGGATAGCCACCACTCACACATACACAACCGCACTGTTTGATGGTATGCACTTTGGCTTTGTTTGCCCTTGCTGGGTTGACGCTGCCTTTGGAAAGCATGGATCCCGTACTGTCCTGTTTCCGATGTTTCCGCTGACGAGAGAAATCTCTTCACGTCGTAGAGTTTAATTTGAAAATTATGCGAATAACAGCAGCATTCACCAGCAGACCCCGCATACGCATTCGGGCCACGGTAACGTTGGATCGGATTGTGACCTTGGCTGCTATCAAACCCCTCCTATATTTCCCAGTCGGAAGCAGCAGGGATATTTACAGATGAGCTCGTTCCCGATGGTTGGAGTGTTTTTTCTGCAGAAATGCAATTTGCTCTGTGAAAGCTGTGACAGTGAGACAGTGATTAAAAATATGAATAACATAAAGGGTGTCCATGATGAAATTGCCACACACAAAATTGATTCGCAAAATTCGAGTTTTCATCCGATTGCCATCAAATTTTCAGGGATTGAGAAATAACTATTAAACTTCATTTTACCATTTTACTCGTATTTTATTTACAGTCCATACGCAAATGCCCGCACCTTGGCCTTAACTCCGGCCATAAGATTCTGCACAACCTGTGAATCAACCGTTTTTTGCATGTAAACCCATACTTTCTTCAGTTCCTCGACTGTCTTCACTACTTTAGGTCGTTTAAGAAGGTGCTGCTTCATAATCGCCCAGTACTTCTCGATGGGGCGGAGCTCCGGAGTGTTGGGAGGGTTGAACATTTTCGGCACGAAATTGACCTTATTGTCCGCATTCCACTTCAGCACGTCCTTGGAGTAGTGGCATGAGGCCAAATCCGGCCAGAAGATTGTTGGGACGTTGTGGGCTTTCAGGAGAGGAAGCAGCCGCTTCTGGAGGCACTCTTTTATGTACACCTGTCCGTTCATCGTGTCCTGGGTCACGAAAGGTGCACTCCGCTTCCCGCACGTGCAGATGGCTTGCCAAACCAGGAAATTCTTCGCAAATTTGGACATCTTCTGAGTGCGGAAATGCTCCGGAACGCTGAACTTATCCTTGGCCGTGAAAAACAGGTTGCCGGGGATCTGTTTGAAGTCAGCCTTCACATATGTTTCGTCGTCCATGATGCAGCATTCAACTTTCGTCAGCATGTTGAGGTACAACTTCCTGGCACGGGTTTTGGCGGACTTGTTCTGCTTCTCGTCGCGATTAGGGGCCTTTTGTACCTTGAACGTTCGAAGCCCAGCCTTAGTTTTGGCCTTCTGGACAAAACTTCGACTTAGGTGCAGCTTCTTAGCCACATCCCTAACGGAGGCGTTCGGATTTCGGTTGAAGGCCCCAACTACGCGGTTGTGATTTTTGGTGTACTTTTTTCTTCACTTCTGGGCTTCCGATCGGTGGTCAACCGTTCCTCGAACCGCTTAATCCCTCGCGACACCGTGGAATTCACGATTCCCAACGTTTTAGCGATGGAACGATGCGAGAGATCCTTGTTCTCGTGATGAATGCGCAAGATTTTATTACGCACGAGCTGTTCTTTCAACTCCATTTCCGCGAGTTTTTATCACAGGACTTTAAAACTTGCAGTATGTAAATAATGCACTATGAACTAAATCCACCCAAATTTTCATTAAATTCTACCCAACGGTTAAAAAGTTAGAGCAATTTCATAGTGTGGCAATTTCATCGTGGACACCCTTTATCAGGAATATCATGAATAATCTAGCAGGAAAATCTTCTGAGAACAACCAGGTGAGACTAGATCAGGGGTTTTAAAACTTTTCAATCTACGAAGCACTTTAAGAGATAAAAGTCAGTATCAGGAGTCGAGTATTACTACAAGACACTGAAGAAGTCTGCACATTGTAGACGAAATACGCGTATGGGTCAAGGATAAGCAAATAAGGTAGTGGAATTAAATGGAAATTACTAATCCTTCTCTCTTTCTATATAATCAGGATAGCCACTGAGTTAGGAACTCGATTGGAACCTTAAATTTAGTTTATACCCATACCAAATCTAAGTTCAATATCTCGAATATTTCTCTAAGCACTGAATTCTTAACTTTTCCTTAGTATGGTATTACGGTAGACTCGATTATGCATTCAAGTTAATCTTGTGAAAATGTTGGTTGATTCAGAAGCTGGCATGACACCATTTATGTTTCGTTTTAAAAAGGTCACCAATAACTACATTAAAGTAAAGTAAAGTAATGCAGCGTTAATATAATTTTAATTTTAATGAAATTCAAAGATTCCGTGAATCATCCATTCTAAAATATTTATTACAGTTCACTCTACAAGCTCACGGCCGATGAGATCAATTTAAAATTGAGGTGTTTTTCACTGAAAATCGCATCAAAGTAGGTCGAATTTTAATTTTACTTTATTTACGCGGTGATGATGTTGGTTCACTCCCAACAATTTAAAAAAAAAAAATAAGTGTTTTCGAACGAAAGTGTAGCAAAAGTGCTTCTGAACGTGTCTCGCAGGTGGGTGTGGTGAATTCGTGCATTCCCGGTGATTGTGGAAATCCGTATCACAGGGCTGGTAGCAGGTCACTTTTTAGTGACCTGGTCACTATTTTGAAGCCAGTCACTAAAAAGCCACTTTTTACACCAAAAAGTCACTAAAGTCACTATTTCCCTAAAAATAGTCACTAAAGTCACTTTTTTACTACTAAAATAGAGAGAAATTTAAAAATATCAACAAAATGTTTAAATTGAGTACTTATCACTAAGACAGTCTACAGTAGTTTTAACAAAATATACATATCTGTTAAATTTAAAATTTGAACCAGGTGACCAGTGAACCGCAAAACATTAGAACACCAGGAAAACTATTGGGAAATGCCTTCAATTTCGATTAAAAATCATTTTCTCCGATACCTCTTTTCCCAGAAAATAAATTGTACACCTTGAAAACTTTCCAAAGGTATGTGATAGATTTTCAATGGATGATTAAGAACTTTAAAAAAATCCAAAGTAAATTTAAAGAGAATTTTAAAGGATTCTAGGGATGACACCAAGATATATCAGATGAGAATACCAAAGTACAGACTACGAAAGTCTAATGTAAAATTAAGTGTTCTGAGGACTGATTTTTTTTTATTATCTAGTTCGTTTATTTGTAAGGCTCAATCGCGTTAGATTTACGGAGCCGATTATTCATTGTTCTTTGTTTGTAACAAAATTCACTTAATTCTATGTCTAGTAGGAGTTGGGTCGAATACTCGCGGCTTACTCGAGATTAGAGGGGTACATTGTCGAAGGATAGGAAAAGGGGAGGAGCTTGGGAGTAGGGTTTCGTTGTCTCATCAGAGCGTTGTCGTCAGTATGAACGGTTCTAGATTCGTCTGGAGTTCGACCGGCTATGGTGACCAGTGGGCGACGATGAGACTCATCGAGACGACTGATTTCTTCATCTCTGCTTAAATCTTAAGCCAGGTTTTCCTATATGTATAGTTAAACTTGGCTTAACACATACCAGCGTCGCTTTTGATTATTGTTTAAATTATTAGAGACACAAAATTCAACTCCGAAACAATTTTGGAAATAATTCCAATATAATTGAGAGTGCATTTAACGAGAGTTCTGAGAAGAATTCTATGATGATTTGATGAGGATTCTAGGTCCAATTCTAATAAGAATTGAGGAGGTTAGAAGAAAAAAGGGGTGTAAGTGACTTTGATCTATTCTCTTCATCCACTTTCTCTTTTGATAGTCTAGCATCTAGCATCCAGAATGGCACACGAAGCAAGGAATGTGTTTTTGGAGCTGAATTATTAACGAAAGAGAAAGTCGATGAAGAGAATCGATCAAAGACACTTACATCCCTTTCCCTCTAACCCCCTCAATTCAAAATTAATTCTGAAATTCCAAGAAAATTCTAAAGAGTTAGAAGTAAATTCCTATAATTCCATTGGAAAAGTTTCAAAGTAATTCTGTGGTGGAT